ATGTGTTGTTTATTCATCTATGAAACAACGTTTACAATCGGTGAATCACGAGCAATTTCCGATTCACATGACACAGAACAGCAAGCACAACAAGTGGCTGGAAATCTTCAATTTTCAACCGAAACTCCCCTGGAGAATGCCGACTAAAATTCATCGCAAGCGGGAAAGACGACGACAACAAGAAGCCGCGCACAAAGCACAGAGAGCATCGCTTAGCACAGCGAAGGCAACGTCGTCAACACAGCGACCGCAAACATGTACAGAGGCAGCGACAAAATACTACAATTACACTGCCAATGGAGCCTTTGTTCAACTTTCGCGTCCCGGTTGAACTGATAGGATCACGTGCGTTCGGAAGCTTGATAATACAGTAAAAACCCACGAGTAAAAACCGGAAATTTAAGAACCTGTTAGCCTAAAATTTGCCATTTATACCCCCTATAAACAAGAACCTGTTTAGCCTAGAAAATGAAAAACAGGATCTTATTTTTTAAAATCATATAAGTGAAATGCAGCTGCAAAGCTGTGCAAGAATCCTGTTTGTAGAAGTAGGAGCTTGGCATTGCTGTGCAAATAAAAGTGCAAGAGGTTAATATTGTTGTATTGCATTTTGAAATTGAAAATAGGCAGATTACAATCTTGTTTTGGAGCTTGTTTTTTTTTTTGTTTTTTTGTTTTTTTTTTTAAGACAAAAGAACCTATTTAAGAACCTAAATAGCTTAAAATTGTGTTAACTACCATTTAAATAAGAACCTGTTTAGGCTAACTCTAGGAAATGTAGGTTCTTACTCGCGGGTTTTTACTGTATAGTATGAAGCGATGCATCATGGGATATATGAAATTCCCCCCTTTCCTCCTTCCCAAATGCGCGGGGCAGAATTACGTGACGTGACATTCTTTGCATGACTCCACTGAAAGCTGGTTTGCCTTTGGTAGTTCGACAGTTGTTTTTGTTTTGCCGTGGCGGCAAGTGAAATTGTTACAGGTATAAGTTCAAATTCTTCATTCATTTCCTTCTGGAGGTCTTTCCGAGGAATCTTCTGAGAAGTTCTATGGACTCTTAAACTAACACAGTCTCAGGTGGGTATCGTTGGATTAAAAATTGTTAATTCGTTAAGTCGCATAAATCGCTGCGTAAAATTCAGAAAACGGAACAGATTACTCGTGACTTTTGTTGTATTTTTTACTGCTTTGTGGACTTTTTGACACTTAATACTTTGATTCAGCTTTATTTAAAAAATCTATACACATTTCGCACCAATATTGTTTCAAGAAGTTACCGAATAATTAAAGGTTTTGGGGCCTACCGTTATTCGCATTTGGTTGTGCTTCGGTCAGAGGACCGTTTTTAGTGTAATATCTACATTTGCTTCGCTTTGTCAGCGCTCGTGATTTCATTTACCCCAAAATTTTATTTCGCTGATTTGAAGAAAAAAGAATGTTTCTTTCAGACTAAACAAGCCTAAGTGTTCAAAGCCATTTACCAATCTGCTTTTTTAGCTCGTGAAAAAGTGCTCAATTTTGACGGTCGATTAAGCGATTTTGAGTCAACAACTTTGAAAATTTCTTTAGAAATCTCTTGTTGACCAAATCGCGAACTAATCAGTTAAAATTGTAGAGGAAAGATAGTAAAAATACCAAGTGTTATTATATTTTAGTTGCCACCTTTATTTTAAAATGTACGAGTTACAGAATATGACTCTAATTTTGCATGATTTTTGCCTATTTTAGGCCTCTTGAAGAAAAAATTCGTTAAAAAAATATTATCCACTCGATCATACTTAAACCAACGATTTTGTAACTAAGGCCCATAGGGCTTTATTCTGGCTGAGTTTGAGGCCAGGTCATTTTTTGACTATTTCCTCGTCTAGTTGATATTTACGCGGGGCCGCTCTTAAGCTTATTTATGTTTTAAGCTGGCTTCCCGGTGTTTGCTATTTTTTCAAGATGAACTCAAGGCAACAAAATGGCTCAGAGCTTTCTTTTTATAGCCAAAATCGTAACTAGATTGTTTTGGAAATGTCTTATTTGTATTTGCAGTCAAAAAATGTCTAAAGGCTTTTTAAACCTGATTCTGTTGTAAGTCAGATCATTGTCTCGTGCTTAAACTAGCCGCATAAACTAGCTCGACTTTAGGTAACCGGAAAAAAAAACACATCAAAGACAATAATTGCTCAGGCGTACCAATCGAGATGCTGTTCCTGAAGGCCATCAAGTGAGGCCGCAGTCGCTTGAGACTTTTCAACCCTCTTAGCCTCGAATAAGGACAAGTGAGTTAGCTCATTTTTGAAAACGATGCCATCAGAAATCGGATTTTCAATGACTTTGACAGGCGGTGCATTTCTCAACCAAAAGCGCAATAAACAAACCAGCCATGAATTACAGAAGAATCTTGATAGCAGCTGTATTTAATTTTGTACATCCAGGACAAAAAGGCAGTTAAAAACATCACAAGATGACATAAAACTCTGTCAGCTTCAGCTATCAGTAAACAAGTTTCCAGATGCTGCATAAATCTTAAATCTTAAATCTTGGTAGGTGTGACATGTTATATCAGCTTATATGTAGGGCCAAAACGACTGGTCTTTCATCTGAGCCCGCGAGATTGTCAGGTGATAATTGTCAGCGGATTTCTGATTTTGACAGCTGTCAATCCAATCATACTTAAGAGCAAATGTTATCAAAAATCAAACATTTTAAAAATTTCGTGGCAACAGCTCAAAAATCAATTTGGCTTATAATCTCATGTTAGGTAGACCGCAACATAAGACAAAACACTGCATAGTTCATTTCACTAAATATCGATTAGTTTTCGAGAAAATCGATAATCACTGAATTTTGTGAAAACGCCGCCTTTTCAATGAGAAATTTAGGGCGATTTAAGACGCCTCGCGTTACAAAGTAAAACACTCTGGAGCAATAAAATCTACCACATATTGTTGACCGATGTCAAAAAATACCGTTAAAGCAATTTTTATCAATTCTTGGCTATTTACTTTTAAACCTAATTTAATTTGCCCGACCTATTTTTATCGCGATGAAAACATATCTAAAATTAGCCTTTTATTTAAGCTTGTGGTACTGCGTATAATTCGTTGAAAACCTAGTGTTTAAAAGTCAAAGAGTTGTTCTTTAAGACTCCCAAAGGTTTTTTTGGGGAAATGATTCAGAACGAAGAAATCGATTTTTAAATTTGGATAAATTTCGGTGTTTCAACTTGTCCCACGCGTGACATGACACTGCAACGCACATTAACTTGACAGACGCACCTAAAAAGTTAAGCAGAATACATTAAGTCAAGGTCTGTTTTAACGTGTAGAATCTAACTTTTTTGTCTTCAAATCAATGACGAAGAAAACTGTATTTCTGCAGGCCGGTGTCGTTTGGTCCGTGAACCAGTCGTTCAAAATCATTTCCCACGACATGATAGCGGCACGGTGGCATTGTTTGTTTTCCATGCTTTGGACGTTGGTTCTTGTTGTGCGTATTCACTGCCTCCATTTTCCTCAAAAATGGTCTTAGAGTGCCTTTCGTAAGTCTTCTTTGCCGAACATTAGTTTTGAACTGAGCAGCAAACCAAAGCGGAACCAAGAGACCTCAAGTCAAAAACATATGTTATCACGTGGGTGTTGTGAAATACCGCTTCATTCAAGTGAAATCTACAACTACAGAAAAGCGGGATTGGAACATGGAACAAGTGTCTAGTGGATCTTAGGGATTTTTTTTTAATTAAATATCAGAGTAAAAAAAAGAAGGAAAGAAAAACAGAAACCTGTTTAAAAACGAATAAAGGCAACAGAGTGACAAATATGATCGGTATAGAAAAATCATTACCTGAGGAATCGAAAAAAATTTTGCGGCGTTACCCTCGGGAAAAACCTCGTGAAATCGGATAAAAACGTCGTCGCTATCACTTTTTTTTGAAATAAAATTAATTAAGAATGTTGGTACTATTTAAAAAGAGGTTTCAGTTTTTGTTTGTTTCGATCGAACCGAGAGATTTGTTTGCAGTCTAAAAGTACGCATCTTCACTTTGTAACAGCTTTAGTGAAACGTTTGTAAACACAGAGAGTTGCGACGCGTGTTACTCGCCATTATTGATGACGTCTTTCGTCAACTTACGAAATCATGCCAGAAGTCAACCCTGTTTATATAAGGAGCGATAACGAAGGATGCTATCATTGCGCGTTTTCATTACTTTCAGTTTACCATGTTGCCCGCGAGCATGCAATTGAACTAAAGCGTTTTGACTTTTCGGACCCCCAAGGCGGAAAAGGATCTTCTGATCTTAAGGCCACGACAATTAAAAGTCACATGCGCACTCATCTCAATTCAGGCCACGACATAGAGACAGCCTCACAAAAGATGACGGTCATTGAGTCATCTGGCGGAATTTCTGGTGTCCAGGTGACAGTGAGCGGGCCACAACCTGCTGCAAAGTCCACTCCAGTAAAATGGGAGTTAGTTTCATTAACAACATTGCATACACCAAGGAACGTTTGCAAGTTTGGAGAGCTTATGGAATTGGCTCTGGCAAATTTGTACCCTGGAGCAACTTCCGCCAACAAGTTGGGAGTCTTCCTCAGCTAAACAAACAGAAACGGAGTTCTAGTGCTGAAGTATCTTTCCAAACTGCCAAAGCCAGGAGTAAACCAAAGGAAAAACCGGTTTTAGAAGAGGCTCCACAGAACAGAAATAACAGCGACGACGATGAAAGCTGTAACGACGAAGGAAGCTATCTGTTTTTCTGTCCAGAAGAGGGATGTGTCAAATCCTTTGTACAATACTGATCGCTAGGAAAACATCTGGACTGTGGTTAACACAAGTATGCCCTGGAACAGGAAACACTGTACAACAAGGCAATTACCATGCACGCCACCAAACTGGAGTGTGGTCCTGGCGTCCTACCAGAAATAGTTGATGATTGTGCATGTATGTCAGTGGAGTGTGATGGCTCAGTGCTACCGATGGGATGGGCTTTTAAGTCAGCAGGAGTACAAAGAAAGAATCTCACGGTGGTGCAGAAAAACTATCTGACTGAAGTCTTGCAAGCTGGGGAACGCACTGGGCAAAAAGCAGATCCAACTAGCATCTCAAAGGCAATGCGAAGAGTAAAGCATAGTGATGGCTCTAATATCTTCGACAAGTGCGATCTCACACCACTACAAATAGCAGGATTTTTTCCTCGCTTGTCAGCAAAGAAAACGTATAGTGTGGAACAATCCAGTGAGGAGGAAGAACCTGAAAGGAATGAGCTGATAACAGAGAAGGCAATCGAAGAAATGTCCAACGAAGTAACGAAAGCACTGGATTAGCTCTTCAGCATCCCATCATGTACGAAACATACAACAGGTGTGAGATCGTAGGTCAGTCTAAGCTGGCGAAGTTTTCGATACGAACCTTGCAGAACATCTGTGCAGTCTTAGAACTGGATGTAGCATCGATGACTCAGCAAGCGCAAGCAGCCGTATATGGAAATTATTGAAGGCGTTGTGGCCAGGTGTTGCTGTAAAACTAGTAAGGCTGACCAGAATATGTATAGATTAACCTACGAAATAGTCAGTGATGTTGAGAATGTCTTACTTAGGGTGAACTAAAATTGACGGCTCTACGCTATGTGTGTCGTCTATAGAACTTTTTAGAGACACTCTTTTAAGAGTGACGACTGACGGGGGTTGTAAAGTGTCTCGTCAAATTATCCTCGTAGCTTTTACTATAGAAGCCAGGGAAAAGCCAAAAAAAGGAAAAGTGTTATACGACCAGTAACAAGTTGTTATAAATTAGGTAAGTCTGTGGAGAGAAAAGGAATTACAGCCACACCCACAAACGGATAATCTTGTACATCTTCAAGTAGATTTAAGGGGGGATGGTCTAATGTAAAGTTTTTTCAAGCTATCTCGTGACTAACAATTTAAGGCCAATGATAAGGAATCTTCCAATTTTATTTTTAAAATTATCTTTAACTGCATCACGTGATCAACCACGCCTTATTTTATCGAGAAATTCTTCGAGTTGAACCGCCCACTGGACAGGGAGCAAACCGTTCTTCTTTTGTAGGTCTACAGTGTCTAATGATACTCTTCTTGTAAAAACAGTTAGAGAAATGGAAAGAAGTCATATGCGTCTCGTCTTGACGAAAACGTTTGTTAGAGGAGGACTTGCACTAGTCAATGAAAACCAGTTTCACCTGCAAATTGTAATGATTCGGGAACCATTCCGAGCTGACTTCGCATAGACTTTGTAGGGTCAATGCTTTGATATAGAAAACTGGAGCTACACGTTTAGAAAGTGATGGGAATCGTTTGTGACAATTTTCGAACACTGGAGGTTGGGGGGCGTAGTCTATCACGTGGCCAAGTAATTTGGATTTCTTTTTTCAATTTTTTTTAAAGTTTCCTTTACTTTACCATCTATCATTCCTCGTGGATGTCTTTAACAATAGTTTTTGGAGAATTTGCATAGTCTTTGTTAAAATTAGTTTATCGAGGAATTCATTATCCGTGACGGGTCGTGTCCGGGTGATCCCGTTTAACTCACTGAGACAATAATGTTCTTACCCTTTTAATAGCTGGAGACCATTACCGAGCTGAATTATTAAAAAAATAAAAAAACACTAGGTGATGGTCAAAGCCCAGGGTTAGTTTTTCCGAACTTGAGATGTGGCAACGTCTTCCTTGTATAAGGCAATGAATTCGTCATGGCACCTGCATTTAATTACTTACATTTTCTAGTTCGATTTGGGGTAAAGCTTTTAGTAGACGTGTAAAAACTCGCTGTGTTTCATCTTTGACAGTTTTGAAATTTATTCTGAGGCTAGATCTTCTTGAAGATAGTTTATGTAGTTTATCGCCGTAGAATATAGCTGAGGGTATAAAATGTAAAAATTGATGTTGAAAGTAAAAAGACTCGTTAGTTCGAAATGTTTGGCAGCAGCATTATATAAAGGGTTCATGATTTTCCAGTCATAAAAAGTCCGTGCACATGAACTTCCGCTCTCGATTCCGGAAATAAAAATTGTGTTCTGCGAAGAACGCCCAGCTCCGTTTTGTCAACGTTCGCAAGGAAAATGTAAGTTGTTATTATACTATGAAAATTTGGAAGTCTTCATATGCTGGTAAAGAAGGTCAAAGACCTTTTAATTTTATGATGAAAAGATTTGATTCTTGTGCGAGATTGTCACAGATTGTTTTTTTAGACATGTTTTCAATGTATCAGTTTGAGACAAACGGCTCGTTAAATTGTTTGCCTTTGGTTTGGTTATTAGTTCGAAACTGATTTTGGAGGAAAGGTAAACGAAAATAACTTTTTAAATCTGATCTCTGATCTTGAATTCAGAGATAATTGGCCGGGAAAACTTCCCAACAAAACATCTCACGTCTAGTCTTCACGCTGGAGTGTAAACAAACATGACAGCTGCGTTATCTTGACAAATTATCTTGTAGTTTGATTGAATTTTGTATCAAACGAAGGGACAGCAGAAATACAATCAATGTCTTTGATTTTAAAACATGTTGGTTAAATTTTTACGTTAATCCCGCTTTTGATTGAATGCTGTCTTTGGAAAACTTGTCTTTCTGTGTGTCTATTACATGAATTAGAAGGTCGGTTAGAACAGGGCGTTGTATCCAACCTTAAAATTGAATTTCTTCGCGCTAAATCATTTCCCCCAAAAATCCTTTGGATAAGTAAAAGAAAGATTATTCGGCTTTCGAAACCCAGATTTTTCGACGTATTTCATTTAGTACCACATACTTAGATTAAAGGTTATTTTTTGGCAAGTTTTCATCTTGATAAAAGAGGGTTCGCGAAATGTAATTATATTTTCAAAGTAAACAGAAAAGAATTGCTCAATTTGCTTTTAACACATATTTTGGCATCATTCTACAAGACTTAGTACATTTTATTTCTCTAGAATGTGTTATTTCGTTACGCGAATCACTCTTTTTCCACCGAATTGTAAGCTCAAAACGTGGCAAATTCTCAGGATTCGGTTATTATTGATTTTCTCGAAAACTAATCGATATTTAGCCAAACGAACTATGTAGCGATTTGTTTTACATTAAGGTCTACCTAACCTGAGAATATGGGCCAAATCGAATTTTGAGCTGTTGCCACGAAATGTTTGACCGATGGTAACATTTGCTCTTAAACCAATGGGTAACATAACTGACAAGCTACATGCACTGTCAAGTTGTGCAAGATCTATTGTGAGATTTGTGCGAATTTGCAAAAAAGAATTAAGCCTTCGCTACGAGCGGGCTGTGAGGAATAAACATTTTTTCTAGAATGACTTAATCTTATTCGCTAACTGCATTGTCTAGATGGTAATAATATGATGGCGTTTCTTTTGAAACGTGAGGTCAATATTAAAAGATTATTAAATTAGGTTATTTTGATATCAGGAATAATCAAGGTCGAGGTAACTGTTGTCAGCCGAAGCCGAAGGTAGAGGCAGATATTACGTCATGCATTGTTTTGAAGAGAATAATGACAAACTCACCATCACACGAAACACAGACGGACATTGAAAATCATGCATTGCGCGCGCATCCTACAAAACAGTCAATTATGTCCAAGAAGCTAATTAACGAGCCGGTAGTAACTGTAACTATATATTGCAAACATTGGTTGCGGTATTTCTCAGCGTGTTTCTTGGAGAAATTCATGATCCAAAAACGGTTTTGTGTTTCTTTGCTAAAATTGGAATAATTATAAAACATGAAGGTAAAGAATCTAAAACAGGAGCCGACTAAGCTAAAATTTATTATCTTCTCTTTTCTTTGGCACTGATGTCGAAACATTTATCTGGAATGTGGAAATCTTGAGAAAATATATACCCGCTTTCTCTTCCGGTCCTATAGTTTTCCTCTCTAATTAATATCGCCCTAAGTAACCTACTTCTACAATTACCATTTCTCTCAGTGGTTAGTCATTTGGGATATTTGAGATAAAGAGTCTGTACCGCACATTATTCTCACTGAGACACACACAACAGACAAAAGCGTAAAAACAAAGAAAGCAGGACTACTTTTATCAACTGAGTCCGTTAACACATCAAAGCCGGCAAATTCATGGCTTGATGGTGTAGTATGATGACGATAGTGGCTGTACTTTGCAATACTCTAGCATTAACTCGAAGGCAAATGCCAACAACAACAAAAAAGTCAAATAAATAAAGAACACTTCAACGAGTATAACTTACAAGACAATTAACTGTGTCAGACTTGAGAACGTTCCTGTTTCCAATTTCTGGATTTTGTTACCATAAAGATATCTGCAAAATGAGAGAACAAAAGAATTGGGTGGACAAAAGCGCTAAAAAGAAGATATTGCCCAAAATGCTCTTTAAGATCCTAAAAGGAGATTTTTCGCGAGGAAAAATGTTCGTTTTCTTTTGTTACTTTGTTTTTTGCCGTTCAAAAGAGGCCAAGAGAATGACTGGCTCGCACTTCCCGCGTCCGCCATTTTCATCAGCGTGTAAGGCTCTCTCTGAGGAGATTGGACGCAATTCTGGTGTTTTTGTTGACAACAAGCTTCGCGTCGTGACCTGCAGAAGCGATCGTAATGTCTATTCAGCCTTATCAGCTTGAGCCTGAGTACTCTTCCAGTGAAGAAAAGCGAAGAAGAACCCGTGGATTCATGGGCGTAAGAAGTTTCGTAATTTCAAGCTACGAGCATTGAAAGTCGCCGGACGGATTCTTCTTGGTGTATTTGTGAAAGATATCTGGTCATACCAGGTGAACTTGAATGTGTGTGCTGTCAAAGCTGGTGGAAGGTTTGTGACTTTACACTTGGTATTTTTTAAAACTCACTCTTTGATTTTTTATTTCGATGGGGAGCCAGGAACTATGAAAATCCATGATGCGTAGATAAAACTAGCCTCGTGGTTTGATCGTGGCTGGCAATCCTCACCAAAAATTACTTGATCGATTTATCTTTTATTTTATCCGAATAAATTGTACTATTTTACTGTCGAAATCACCAGAGAAAGCATTTTGGAAGTTTAAGCTCTGGCCCCAGTTGTTCAAAATCTGGAAAGCGCTATCCACCGGATAAATCACTATCCAGTGGATAAATATACAGGAAATCAGTTGCGTTATCCAGTGGATAGGGATTTATCCAGTGGATAGCGTTATCTTCCTTTTGAACAACTGGCACCTGAATATTTGCGTAGCCAGAGAAGGTCGCGAGTTATATGAAAAAAGGAAAGCACGAGCTTAGCTAAACCCAATCCCAAACTTACTAGCAGTGATACTTCAGTAATCACTGTCTTTGCCAATTCATGGCGTCTTTGCAAAATCATGGCGGAATACACTCAAAGACGTCTTCTGATTCAAAACATGGAAATCTTGAGAAAGACGATATCCAAATGCCCCTTAAACTAGTGAAAGAGTTGCTTAAGCAGCAAGAATCAACTTTAAAAGTGTTCTTAGTACCTTCATGGATTCTGTCAACACTAGAATTGACAACTTCATGAAAGATGTGCAAAGTGTTAAATCGATTTTAGAGTTCACACAAGCTCAAGTCGAGGAGCTAATAGCCTCTGACCTCAGAGTAAAGAAAGTCAAAGTACAAATTGAGGACCTAGGAAACAAGTTATATGACCTCGAAAATCGATTAAGGCGAAATGATTTATGCTTTGAGGGAATTCCTGAGTCACCAAACGAACCTTTGCAGGAATCGGAAAACAAAATCAAACACCTAATCTCAAGTCACATGCCTGAAGTCGGTACCGAGTTTGTCATAGGGAAGGCTCATCGTGTTGGTAGACCTCGCTCTGACTCCAGGCCTCGCAAAATTGTCGCCCGGTTTCTCAATTACAAGGATCGTGAGGCAGTTTTCAAAACCAAGAAGAAGCTGCACGGAACAAATATGTTCGTAAACGAGGATTATTCCGACCGCGTTGTTAAGAAGCGGACAGAACTAATGCCCAAGTTAAAGGAAGCAAGACGCAAGAACCAAACAGCATTCCTGAGGTTTGACAAATCAGTTATTTATTATAACCTGGTAAATTCTAGATCTACAAATGATGAGAACGCATCAGGAGAATCTAGTAACGCCGATTAATATGACTTGTTATCTCTGCAACGGAAAACAAAATCAAACACCTAAACTTCAGGAAACCTTGGCTTACAAAGAGCTTACTTAGGTCAATCAATAAGAAAAATAAGCTATACAAGCCATACTTTCGTCATCGATCGAATGAAAAACTTCTTAAATACAAAACGTATAAAAACAAACTAACTAATCTTTTTAGAGTTGCCAAGAGGCTCTATTTTCAAAATCAAATTGAAATAAATAAGACTAACATCAAGAAGACGTGGAGGATTTTGAATAATGCAATAGGCCAAAATAAAAAGAAGAAATTGACATACCCATTAGTATACGAAAATGGTGAAAGTATTACCAGCACAGAAAAAGCCGCCAACAAATTCTGTAAATATTTTACAAACATCGGTCCAAATTTGGCCGGTAAAATAGCCCCTGCCTCCAAGTCGTTCCAGGATTTTATAAACAGTGTGCCCTCAGACTCGCTCTCAAGCTTCACTCATGTAACTGCCGAAGAACTCAAAACAATAACAAAAGGTTTTAAGGACGGTAAGGCCCCCGGAGCTGACAACATTCCGATTTCTATTATCAAAACAACACTGGACCTTATTTCAGATCCGCTGCTATCAGTTATGAACCTATCTTTGTCATCAGGCGTTTTTCCAGATAGACTGAAAATATCTAAAATTATTCCTATCTTTAAATCTGATAACGCTAGCTTAGCACAAAACCACCGACCAATTTCTATACTTCCTGCCTTTTCTAAAATTTTCGAAAGAGCTGTTTATAATCGCATATTTCAATTCTTAGTCGATAATGACATATCATTTAAACATCAATTCGGTTTTCGTCCCGGCCACTCTACTTCCCACTCCTTGATTAATTTTGTGAACAAAGTTGCTAACGCCGTTGAATGCCAAAAATATTTAGCCGGAATATTTCTTGACTTATCAAAAGCCTTTGATACCCTAGATCACGCAATACTAGTATCAAAATTGGAAGCATGTGGCATCATTGGGACAGCCCATCAATGGATAACTGACTATTTTCGTAATAGAATGCAATACGTCCAAAGTGACGATTCTAAATCCGATGCTTTAAGACACATTTGTGGCGTACCGCAAGGCCCCCTCTTTTTTATTATTGATGTCAATGATCTCCCGGCCTGCTCTAGCTCTAGTGAACTCGAATTTATTTTATTTGCTGAAGACACCAGTATATTTTTTTGAACATAGTGACCTGGTTGTACTTACCTCCCATCTTAACGACCAGCTCGACAATGTTTCAACTTGACTAAAAGCCAATGAGTTATCCATCAACGTTAAGAAAACAAAACTAATGATTTTCAGACCAAGGCAAAAAACGTTACCTATCACAAGGCAGATTATTATAGAAAATAATGTACTTGAACAAGTAGATCATACTAAGTTCCTCGGAGTTTGATCAGCACCTTACGTGAAAAACTCATATTAATTTTATTGCGGCTAAGATTTCTAAATCTGTCGGGTTACTTTATAAAGCTACATACTATTTGCCCTCAAAATCTCTTCTTACACTATACTATGAGCTTATTTATCCATATCTTACTTACTGCAATTTCATTTGGGCCTCTATTTATGTCACCAACCTGCAACGAATTTACCTACTACAGAAAAGAGCAGCCCGGGCGATCTCTAAGGCTGACTACAAGGCTTCAAGTAAACCTCTTTCTTCAAATTTGAAAATTCTTGATTTTTTAGTTTCTACTCGCTCCAAGTAAGTTCTTTCATGTAGCTATATCATAATGCCGCTTTACCTATTGCTTTTACTCAAATCTTTCAAACTGGAAATCAGATTCATCAATATTCAACAAGATACTCTGACTTTTACCGACCTCATACTTGTAGAAAAAATATTTAAAAAAATTTTCGATCCTGTTTCAAGGTCCTAGAATATGGAATTCATTACCGAACAACATCAAAAACACCCTGACTTTTAATATATTCAAGCGTGTGATCAAACCATTTTTAAGGGTCAGACAAGATACAACCTAAATACCTCAACACCTTATATCCATATTTTTCTCCAAACACACTTATATACTTAAAATACACTTCTTTTTCTTTACTTTTAAATGCTGCCTAGTATTTAAATTGCCCGTGGGGGGGAAATCTCTATTCCTCATAAGTTCGGCTTTTCGGAGATTTCCCCGCCACAGTCACCCTTCCAAGTTGCCTGCTCGTTTTAAATTTAATATTAATTAACGTATTTATTATGTTTCTTATTCTAACTGTAATTTATTCTGTGTGGCAAAATAATAAAAACAATAAAAATTGATTCAACGCCTGATGGCAAAGTCATCATTTGTAGGAACTATAATCGTATTAAGGGGTGCAGTCTTAAAGATTGTAGTTTTGTGCACGCTTGCAACCTTAAGATAAATAGGAAGGCATTTGTGCAATAAGTCACGCACCTTGTATAATCACCATGGCAACTCTAGGAGTCGCATTTGTCCTTCTACCCCCCAAGGTAGCATGGGTCCCAATGACTAAACATAGCTTCACCCCTCACCTTCAATCTTTGTCTCCCCAGCCTTTTTGTTTCTCATTTTACCAGATCTGCACTTATCCTATGTTTTAAAAGAAACTCTGTTCTATCCATCACTCCCTGGGTCTGACAGCCTCAGATTATGCCTGCCACTCTTTCCGTCGAGCTGGGGCCTTCCTTTGCCTTTTAATCAGGGATTCCGGTGGAAATTATCAAGATACTGGATGACTAGCATTGGGACGCTGTTCTCCTTTATCTTTCGGTTGCACTTACTATCAGACTTCAATCAGTTAATCTCTTCTCTAAAGGTATTATTTCACACCGCACCACTTTACTTCACTTTGGGTTTTGAGTGTTAGTTTTCCTTTTTCTTTTGATAGAGGTTGTCCTAGTGACAATCATGCGTGTTGGCTGTATGGTTTAGGGAAAGCATCAACCCTTGGTTGATGCTTATCTAAATCATTAACTAGGATTAGAGACTCAGGCATACTTGCAAGCTTAAATTTTTAGATCCAGTATTAGTTTTCACATCTATCATTGCCTCTAGGGCCAGTGATAAGTTTTTACAAATATTAAGTAAAATTACTCGAGGCTAGTAAATTGTAAATCTAAAGCATGAGTGTAAAAGAACTATTTGTAGTCATATATATTTTGATTGGTAGAAAAATTCAAGGACGCTTGCCCTATGCGCTCAAGGTATCGTCCCCTCCCACTCACCCGGATCTATTTTGTTATGTTTTATGACAGCCCTTCTATTTTTGTTTAATAGTCCATTGTAGCATATTGTCGAGTTTTAAATTTGAAGTGTTGGTTTTCCTTTTTGTTTTCGTCCAGGTTATGAATAGACACAAACAGCGAAAGGGAGACCAGATACCATTCACGCGATTTCCAGAACGCCTAAAAATTGCTTTAGTTTTGGCATGTAAACGACAATGTGTTGTGGACTGTACTACTACGTCTGCGCGGCAGGGAGTGTTGGTCTTCCAAACAAGCAACAAGTAAGGGCCCAACGGGTATTAACATATTATGGTTGTTTGTGTAGCAACGAAATGTTAGCCTAGTTGTATTGAATTTGACTCAGGCGTCTTCATTGGAAAAATACATTATTTCTTTTTTTCTGCTGCCAAGTCATTTAAAAGTGTACACATATGTTAGGTAGTCAGCTTCCTTTTTAAAAATACCATGCTGTATAAAATTTATATGGCTAAGGGCCTTAACTCGTAATTATAGAGACGATTTACCCCAACAAATAGGAAAAAAACATTTTTAAAGACGCTTTCTGGCTGACGTGCAATCCAGGCTTAAATTGCACAATCGTATCCTTACATTGCTTATTTATTACTTGGATTTTTATTTCAGTTGTATATTGGTACGTGTGTGCGCGCGCAATTTAATTTTGAGTGCGTGCATTATTTATTTATTTATTTAAGTTTCGTGTACATGTAGTTCGTTTAATAACGTCTTAGTTTTGCTTTGCGTTATTTTCCTCACTTATATGTGTTGTCCGCGACTGTGCTCACACGGTGGGTGGCTCCTCCTAAATGTTCTGCAGTTGGTATAGGATTTAATGGAGCCTAAACCAATTGTTGAATTGCACGCATTTTAGGCATCCTACTGATGAACAGTTGGGACACGTAGATATATTTTTTAGCAACTACTATAATTTGCAGTCTGTCTACTTTGAATCGCTCTAGAACACCTTAGCTTAAGCTCCCTATAATAAGAAATTGACTTCTACCTTGTCTGTAACACAAAACTCAGTGAAGGGTTTGTTTGGGTGGAGATAGGGGAAGACTTGAGGTTCAAAACTAGACGATGGCGAGCTAGCAGAACCAGGCCTGGAGAAACTATTTTAATTTTTAATGTGCATATGCGCATTAAGCATATTTTGAAGCAATTTATTTGCAAAAATATTATAATCCGTCTATGATGAATGACTTCATGCTTTTTCATCCGATATCATATATCCTTGATCAAATGCTGCCGACCAAAAAATTCACAGATGAAAGGAAAATCACCACTAACGGGAAAGAACCCTTGAACAAAGGCCGCCCTTAAGGTGATTCCCTGGTAAAAGAACCTTACATAGATTGTAGATGAAACTTGGTACACTGATGTAACAAGTCAAGAAGATGATAAAAAGGTAATAAAAAGTGGGGGTCACCGTGCTCGTTTTGACGTCACAATGCCGACAAATACGACTATTTTGGACCCTTTGACAAAAACCGTGCGCAGCCCAAAACTAGACAAAAAGGAAAGATTTTATCAATGATGCATGTGGTATCTCACAGAATTTGACTTTAATGTATTGTTTATCTACTTACGTACTAGAAAAATGCCTTTTAATGCGCTTGTTTTTACTTTACGCTCCAAAGTAGAATTAAATTGGACACGCGCTATTCGACACGTGATAGCTCAATCCGTACAATTTAGTAAAATTGTCAAAAAACTGAACATAGATTTGTGCCAATTTTTTTCTCACCGAAAGGAAGCACTAGCCTTATTAAAATCACGAAATAAAAACTGGGGGTCACCGTACTCGTTTTTGCGGTAGAGCTGCTGAAAGTGCGCACCAAATGCATTTTTCCTCCATTTTTGAGAGAGGACTGGGGCGAGTTTCAAAAAAGAATGTATGCGAAAGGGGGAAGAAAGTATTAAAAAATCCGTTTTTACGGAATTTACATTGAGATATCACATTTAGGACACAATGTGATAAAGAAAGCGTTTAAATGAAAATCAAAGTGAATAAGCACAGATTAAACATCCGCTATCGAGGTTCTCCGTGAGGAAGTCAAACTCAGCAACACGCGTTCTGCTTACGTTATGCACATTCCCACCACATTGAGTCTCGCCTCGGCAAGAAACAACCGCAAGCAAAAATTGCAATAGCGTTTCTCTTCGGTCAACTTCATTTTAATATTACTTCACATGCTTTTTTACGGAGGCCATCTTGTTATGCGCAGTAAGAGATGCGCAGTGCAAAACCAGGGAATCACCTTCAGAAAAACTCGCAATTATAGAGAAGATCTACCCCAACAAATAAGAAAAAAACATTTTTAAAGACGCCTTCTGGCTGACGTGCATCGCTCTTGAACACCTTGGCTTAAGCAACACGCAAGACTAATCCAAGGTTATAGAGACTTCATTGACAATGCCCTTTTTTGGACCCGCTCCAGCTCATATCGATATTGGGATGTGAAATTAAAGAGAGAGATACATGGATCTCTAGACGACCTACTTGTATCAGTTGATGAAGAGGATATTCCACTATCTTTTAACTCTTGATATTTTCACTTAAAACTGCTAACACCTCATACAATTTCTTGAAGAGAACAATGAGAAACACTCAATTACACGAAACACAAACGCACATTGAAAATCATGCATTGCGGGCGCAACCTATAGATTAGTCAAGTATCTCCAAGCCTGAGATAACTAACGAACCGGTAGTAACTGTAACCATATATTGCAAACATTGGTTGCAGTGTTTCTCAGGGTGTGTTCCTTGGGGAAATGAATCCAAAAACGGTTTTGTGTTTCTTTGCTAAAATTTTTGTTTTGAAACATTCAGCTAAAGAATCTAAAGTCAGGAGCCGACTAAGCTTAAATTTATTATCGTCTCTTTTCTTTGGCACTGATGTGGAAAACATTCATCTGGGATGTGGAAATCCTGGAAAAATATATACCCGCCTTCTCTTCCAATCCTATACTTTTACTCCCTAACTGATATCGCCCTAAATAATCTACTTCTGTAATTTCAGTTTCTCTCAACGGTTTGCAATATGGGACATTTGAGGTAAGGCTGAGTCTGTACCGCACACTATGTGCGTTATTTGAATATAAAATATTGCAATTAAATTCCTTACTGAGATAACAAAGACATAAAAGCAAAGAAAAGCATTAATCGAAGAAAGCAGGACTGATTTTACCATCTGAGTCCTTTAATACATTAAAGCAGACGGATTCATGGATTGATAGTGTAGATAGTGATGATGGTGCCTTCACTTTACACTACTCTAGCATTAACTCCAATGCAAATGCCAAGAACAACAAAAAATTCAAATAAATAAGGAGCACTTCAACGAGTTCAACTTACAAGAACCTTAACCGCGTCAGATCTGAGAACGATCCTTTTTCCAGTTTCTGGATTTTGTTGTCTTGAAGATATCTGCATAATAAAAGAAACAAAAGAATTGGGTAGACAAAAGCGCTAAAAACTCCTATCAGGATAACACCACTCTTAATAAGAAAATATGGCCCAAAATGCAATTCAAGATTTTGAAAGGAGATTTTTCCCACAAAAAATTGTTCGTTTTCTTAAGTACTTTTTTTTGCCGTTCAAAAGAGGCCTATAGAGAATGACAGATTGAAACTTCCCGTATTTGCCATTTTCAGCGGCGTGAAAGGCTCTCTGGGCGATGACGTAATAGGGTTGCTCGCCCTAGCTGCCTGGACGCAATTCTGGTGTTTTTGTTAAAAACAACAAGCATCGCGTTGTGACCTGCAGAAGCGATCGTCATGTCTATTCAGCCTTATCAGCTTCAAACTGAATACCCTTCCAGTGAAAAAGCTGAGGAAGACTCGCAGGATTGAGAAGGAAGAAGGTTGGTAATGTCAATCTTCGAGCATATGAAAGACGCCGGACGGATTTTTCTTGGTGTGTTTGTAAAAGATGTACAGTCATGTCAAGTGAAAGTGAATATGTGCTGCAAAGAACTCTCATTTCTGTAAAAGCCAGCGGAAGGTTTGTTACTTTACACTTCACTTTTAATTTGTTTATTTCGATGGGAAGCCAGGAACTATGAAAGTCTATGATGCCTGGACAAGACTTTCCTGGTGGTTTGATTGCTGCTGGCAATCCTTGGCCTCCTTATTACCAAAATTACTTGATCGATTTACCGTTTATTTGATCCGAATAAATTGTATTATTTTACTGTCGAAATCACTAGAGAAACCATTTTGGAAGTTTAAACCCTAAACATTTTTTTAATTGTTTATTGATAATCATATTAGATAATTACCTTTACAATACTAAAAGAAACATTTTAACAATAGACATACAGAGTAAAGCAAAATTAATCGTTAAATTTTTACAGGGCTAAAAGAAATTAGAAAAAAGTACAACAGGGCAATTAAGTAATGCTGAGTTAAGATATTTAACTTAAATAAGGCATCAGTATCCATTTTCTTTTAAAGAAATCTATGTTTTCATGTTAGCGATGATCTCCGCCCTAAATCTATAAATGTTTTTGGAAGGATTTGTTTGTTCCTACCGTCTCACAATAGACTTTTCCAATAAGAATAAAATAGTTTAGCAATTGACGTAAAGGGCAAGCATTTTCCGTCAAAATTCCAAATAGTGTATGAGCCAAGGGGGGTGTCGGTACCATATTGATGGACAAACAGTACGGTGGTTTTTCTTAATGTACTTAGCCTATAGTTTATAAATATGTGTGATAGCATTGGTCAAATTGTCATCTTCTGTGTTTTTTGGGGGGGAGGGGTGGGTCGGTGCGTCGCTTTACTGTAGTAAGTATTTATCCTTTAAAGGGTGCCTTTAATTATCCGTAAACATGTTTAATTATCCATTGCAAACAATTCTTGTGCTCTGAATTTTAGCTTGAGGCCGCAGAATTTATTTCAAAAATTGTCAGTGACTCGTCTCCGACCTTTGGGGGGAGGGGAAGAAGAAAATTATGACACAAATTTCTTATGGAGTACCCAAACAAAGGAAAAAGTCATTTAAAAATTAAGATAACCAATTCAAACATTAAATCCCAGCACTTCGCTTTCGTTTTCTGGGCTGCCTGTGTAATTTTTGTGACTTGAGCCCACAGTACCAACCGCTGACATCATCCAGTAAGCTCTCTTCGAACCAGAGGTAAGTTTCAAAATTCGGGAATTTCTCATACTTTTTTACATTGTTGCCTTTCAAAAGTTATGTTTTACGCTACAAAGGTCATTTTGCCTTCAACTGATACCCTTGTTACTTTAATCTCAGTCTCAAAAGTCATTATTTTAGTCAATATTTTCACCTTTGTAATATCTGTAAGTTTTCAAGATGGCGGCCACAAACAGAATGATAGACTTCACCCTTTTTGATATACTGTAGACCTTCTTTTAACTAAAAAAATCTAACTTAATGATTACATTTGGCTATAATCCTCTGATTTACATCGTTTTAGTTGCGGTTAACGAGCCTTAGCGTGTACATTACTGACGAAATTTTCAAGATGGCCGCCGAGGAGAGTCAAGACCATCAAACTACTGGAAATTTAGATCAGTGTGTGTGTGTGTGTTTTTTAACTAAAAATAAGGTTTCTTAAGTGATCATTAAGGGCAACTGCACCGGTAAAAATGGTGAATTTTGCTGTCATATATAATGATAGGAAATTTGGAACTTTGTTGTCACATATTTTACTACTCAACTAACAAATAACACACAAAACTGGTAATTTGTAAAGCTATAGGCTGAAATCTGCTAAAATAGGCTTTGTCTTTTTTCATTCGACTTATAAAGGAAATGTCAGCAACCGTTCGTAAAAGTAAATATTGCATTATTCACAAGGAAGGCTTGAAAGTTGACGATGACCATTTGATAAGCCCCCAAAGTTATGATTCGTGGGCAACGCTGTTAGAGGCGGCAGAGATTCGAAAACATGAGGCCCTCCTTCAAATTGCGAGAAATGCTCAAGAAGGGGAAGTGCCTGAAATATTCTACCATAGGAAATGTCGCAGTGCATTTACCATCAAGAGAGATTTAGAGTCGCTCAAAAGAAAACGTGCCTTGGAAGAGGATGCTCATGAAGATGAAACTCTACTTGAAAGGCCCAGAAAAAGAAGTGCGACCTCCGCATCTCGTGTCTACTATAAAGAATGCATTTTCTGTGAGAGACCCAAGTATGTAAACCGTACACTAGAAAAGCTGGTAAAAGCTACTCAGCTAAGGGTGGACCAGACTCTGCGCCAGATAGCTACCGAGAGATGTGACGAGCGGATCCTGGCAATTACAAGTAGAGATATCGTTGCAGCAGAAGCACACTATCATAGAACGTGCTACCGTGACTACACAAGGCCCACCTCTCAGCAGCACCCAGAGGAAAGCGAACCCAAGAATGATGCTGAATATGATGCCTTTTCAGATTTATTTAGTTTTATTAGAACTGATGTTTTAGATGCGCAGGTTGTGGTAACTATGATTGAGTTAACAAAGAAGCTGGAATCTTTTCTTCAATCGAGAGGTACAGAGAAGCTTCAGGAATCAACGAAGAAACACCTGAGAAAGAAACTAGAGTCAGAGTTTGGTTCCACTTTGGAAATTTTTCCAGATGAAAAGGGAAAGCTACTGGTTATTCCTGCAAACCTGGATATCAAGGAAACAGTAAAGAAGATGGTTAACCTGGAAAAGGAAGTAATGAGTTTTAAGTCCCAAGCAACAGAAATGCAAACGATCGTCGATCAGAGCGCTGAACACTTGCGAAATGTGATTTTAGATATGAAGTGGACTATGCCCTGGCCTATTCTCCCGTCCGATTTATCCGTTGATCAGTTTCCTGTACCAGAATGTCTTCGTCGCTTCTTGATAGGACTACTCACATCAAATCGTGACGTGAAGAATCCCTCACCAAGAGTGAAAATGTTACTTGAGTCCTTCAGTCAAGATATTATTTATGCAGTGACCGGCGGCAGGACAAAACCACCTAAGCAGATTCTCCTATCGTATGGAGTCAAAACTTTGACTGGCAATGTAGAATTAATCCGTATGCTCAATAGATTTGGCCATGGCGTGTCGTATTCCCAGCTAGAAGAGAATGATACAGCCTTATGTCTCCAAAAACTCGCTGCTAACCTCAATCAGACTACAATACTGCCAGGAACCATTCAACCAAACGTTTTTACCAATTTAGCTTGGGACAACATCGATCGCCTAGAGGAAACCTTGACTGGAGGGGGTACAACCCACAGAGTTAATGGAATAGCGGTGCAACCAAGAGTCTTTGGGCCACATCTACCAGCTCCACAGCTGCCTCCAATTTTGAAGCAGAAGCAGAGGAGTATCATCCACGAAGAGCAACCTTTGCCCACGTACATCGCTGGTGAAAGAGTTGGTCCAGGTCGTATTAAAGCGAGCAGCAATCTGATGAACATCCAGGAAGCAGAAGCTCGTAATGCTCAAGCATGGAATCTGACCTGGGCTGTGGCACGCCAGACCCATGTAGAGGACCAGAGGGTACCAAGCTGGACCGGTTTTCATGTTCAAACGCGAAGCAAGGAGGATGTGCGGGAGGACGTGGTGGCTTATTTACCAACAATTAATGCCCCAGCGACAGAGCTAAGCACCGTTAATGAAATCCTGCGCCAGTCCGAAGACATCAGGAAAAGGCTTTATCTAGACCAGATCGTCGTTGTATTGGATCAAGCATTATATGCCAAAGCATGTGAGGTTGCTTGGAAAAACAGAGAGCTTTATGAGAAAATCATTCTTCGCTTAGGAACATTTCATACAATCTGCAACCTACTGTCCATAATAGGGAAGCGCTTTCAAGATGCAGGCTTGAGTGATGTCTGTATCGAATCTGGCATACTAGCTGGAGGATCCGTGTGTGGTGTTATGGAAGGGAAGGTGTATAATCGTGCTGTTCGCATCCACAAGTACATCTACGAAGCTCTTATGCGACTCGTATGGAAGCAGTTTGTGCCATGGCTAACAGTTAACCATGCAGACAAAGTGGGTAAACTACGTGTCCTCCAAGTCAAGGTCAGCGACATGGTCAATGAAGTAGAACTCCGACAGTGTGAAAGTATTTTGAACAGTGATCCTTTCAAAGAAATTCACCTGATTTGGATGCAATACTTGCAATACCTGCGCTCTGAGAATGGCCCACTGTCCTGCTTTTGGATGTCGTACATTGACATTGTCGGTGATGTACTACTTGGATTGATTCGAGCATCTCGTGAAGGTAACTGGCAGCTACATCTCTACGCCATTCGTAACATGATCCCGTGGTGCTTCGCGTACGACAAAATAAACTATGCTAGGTATCTACCTGTCTACTACGCTCAGATGATAAATCTCCCCTCCGAACACCCGAACGTGTATTCCAACTTCATGAATGGAAGATTTTCCGTTCAACTTGCTGGAGAAAGCCCTTTTGGGCGCATCCCTGTAGACCAGACCACGGAAGTCACTGTCAACAAGGACACCAAGTCAAGTGGGGGCATTACCAAGTATAGTCTAAAGACAGGAGCGGTAACTAGATTCTACATGACAGCTGAGTACCGATGCTCCTTTCTTGCTCATTTGAGAGACATGGTTCAAGTCAAGCGCCCATCCTATCATCATGACGAAATGCTGTCTACCAGGAAGCGCAAAGACGAGCAAGCAGTAACAACAATAGAGAGTCTGATTGAAGGCTGGAACAATCCCTTCACAGAGAGGAAAGAGCTTGTGAGTTTATCCACTGCCAAACAAGCGCCTGAAGATGTAACTAGAGACCTTTTGAACGCTCGAAAAGTCGGCGAAGAGGCCTATCAAGTGTTCAAAGAGCAACGTCTGGAATCGTCTCCACCACAGAAGAAATTTCATGACACAA